CCCCTGTCTTCCACCCTCCACCAGGCCCGGGTTTCCGCAAGAGAGAGGGCGGTGACATCACTTTCATTGGTGGTCCATCCGGCGACGATGGCGGCAACAGTGCTAGCTTTGAGTTTGTTAACTCATACGCCTCAAGTGTCAAGGACGCCTACAAGGATGACCACTCTGTTGATATCAAAAACACTGTCATCCATCCTCCCCCTGTCTTCCACCCTCCTCCGGTGTCAGGCTTCCGGAAGCGTGATGATGGAGGCTCTCACATCAGCAGTCCTAACTATCATGAGCATGCTAAGCCGGCTGTGGTCGAAGATTCTGGAAAACCTGCCAAAGACGGCGGAATTACCTTCATTAAAGGCCCCTCCGGTAACGACGGTGGCAACAGCGCCGATATTGAGTTTGACAGCAACTATGCATCGGCGGTCGAGGATCATTACAAGGACGACCATTCTGTGGATATCAAGAACCACATCGTTGCGCCACCAGCTGTGCCAAAGGGCTTCCGCAAGCGCGGCAGCGGCCCGGTCTTTTACGATGGTCCCAGTGGGGATGATGAAGGGAATGATGCCGACTTTGTCTTTGATAACGAGTACGCCTCGAAGGTCGACAGCCACTATGTAGATGATCATTCCGTGAAAGCAGAGAACTGGATCGTGCAAGTTCCGCCGCCGCCGCCGCCCCCTCGTCCTCAGCCCCCTCGTCCTCAGGGACCTCCTCCCCAGGCAGCTCCGCCCCCTTTCGCTGGCAGCCAAGAGCCGCCTCATCCTCAGGGACCTCCTCCTTTCGCTGGCAACCCAGAGCCGCCTCGTCCTCAGGGACCTCCTCCCCAGGCAGCTCCGCCTTCTTTCGCTGCGAACGAAGAGCCGCCTCGTCCCCAGGGACCTCCTGCCCAGGCAGCTCCGCCTTCTTTCACTAGCAACCAAGAGCCGCCTCGTCCCCAGGGGCCTCCTCCCCAGGCAGCTTCGCCTCCTTTCCCTGGCAACCCAGAGCCGCCTCACGGTGTGGACCCGATAGCAAGCGAGCCATGCAGCACATCCACCTTCATTGAGACCGTCATCAAGACCCTTGCAGACGAGCCGAGGCCCACTAAGCCCGCTGGCCCGTACAGGCCGCCTGAGCATCCTCAGCCCCATGTGCCTCACCCAAAAGCTCCATCCGACCCCGGCCATGGGTTCGAGCCGACGCATCCCGCCGAGGCCGCGCCAACTGGTGTTTCTCCCGCCCTCGAGGTTGAGACTCCCAAGGGCCACGAGAACCCTGGTTTCCAGAAGCCAGAGCCTGTCCGCCCCTCTTTCACCACGTCGAAGGTGGAAGCTCATCCCCAGCCGACTGCGCCATCGTATCCCCCGCAGGGAAACCCTCAAGCACACCCTGAGGGCGGCGCTCCTGCTGACCCTGGTCACGGCCAGCCTCAAGCGGACACGACTCCTTGCCCCACGGGTAGGCCCGGAGGTCACCAACCCGAGCCTACCGCTCCTTCCTATCAACCGCATGAACCCCAGGGCGCTGACCCGAAGGAAGCTCCCAAGCACGCGACCACCGCAGCAGAGCCCGTGACCTCCATCACGTCCACCATCACTGTCAGCCACACCTCCTCCTTCGCGGTCGTCCCCGTCTACATGGACTCCAACCACAAGACCACCTGCACGTCTGCAGCCCACCAGCGCCCCACCGACGTCGACGCCGAGGACAATCACCACGCGCCTTCCTCGGCACACAGCCAGGCCGTCAAGCCCTCGCACCACGCTGCCCCGTCCCCATCCCCGACGCCTAGTCAGAGCATGATGTTCACCGGCGCTGCGGGCCGCATCGCTCCCGCCGCTGGCGTCGTGTCTGCCGTGTGTGGTCTCATGGCTGTTCTTGCCTTTGTCCTGTAAGCTGTAATTCGAGCCGTTGATGGGCCGTGACATCTCATGTGTTGCCACGTTGAATTTCTCATTCGCTCGGTTTTCATTAAGTATCTAATGTCTTTTATATTTCTGGGACTTTACTGTTACTCTCGCTCTGTCTGTATTCTTTTCTTTGGGATAATCTCCAAGCAAATGCTACGTGTGATGTCTTCGTTTTCTCTTCTTTTTTCTACTGTAGTTCCTCCGTAGTGTAGTTTCAATCTTGCAGCTACTTTGCCTCTCGACCTCAGCGGGCAATCGCTCAGCGTCATATTGATTCTTGATCAAGTCGTTGGGTACCTTGTGGTCAAGTCACCTGTGATGTCAGTCTCACGAAGCTAAGGATCTTCCTCAATTCAGTGATGAGAGTAAATACTTGTTTCTCAAGCTTAGAACGAGAATATTTCTGTATACCTTGGCAGTTTGTGATGTCGGCATGCTCCAGGGTCCCTATTATGTCACTGGGGCCGATTAGTACTTACGTCCATCACCATCACCACCACCACTCTCAGTATTCTGACTTTATGAAGATCAAGTACAGTCTGATATCAAGATGTTAGACATTGTTATCATACATCTATGACTATGACTAAGCGATCCCACTGGGCTGACATGCTTCTGATCTCATAGTCCCATCATCCCCGAATCGAGGATGAACGGTGACATCAATTGCCGTCTTTTCTCCCCCACAGTCAAGCGAAATATAAAAGCCTCAGCTTCAGTTACATTTTCCTCTTCATTGTTGTGACAAGATAATTCAATTCTTGAGTAATAACCTCTCTTCGATCAGAAAGAAACATACGAATAAACATGTCTTCCGACGACGCTCACAGAGGAGGCTCCCTCTCCGAGATGGCCGAACACGGCACCACCATGCCCAACGACGCAGGCCTCCAAAACACCCTCCCCTCCGTGCCTCGCCCCGACCAGCTCAGCGAAAGCCGCCAGTACGATAACTACGGTCTCGCGGAGCCCTCGCTGGCCTTTGCCGCCGATAACGCCACCGATCTGCCCCGGAGCACCAAGGAGATGGGCGCAAGCGGCGAGGTCGTCACGGGGACTGGCGATGCGTTCCCTGTTTCGGGGGAGTCGAAGAGGATTAACCCTGGTGCGATGGACCCCGGTGCGCGCGGAAATGCGCGGACGATCAAGCATGCGAACCTCAATCGGAGTCAGTTTGATAGGTCGGCGAGGGAGGATGGGAATGCGCCTGAGTTTATTGGAGAACATGAGTTCCGGAATCGGGATGAGTGATTTGTATCGATTTGGGCTGTGTTTTTCGTCATGATGTATTGATATACTTGCGGGAAATGTTTTGAGTAATGCATCTTTGATCGGTTTTCCCTTGTTTATGCTGGCGTAGATGGGGCGACGAAGCCCCGGTAGATCTCGTCCAGCACATCTCGTTTGCGTTTCCGATCCGCTTGCTCGGCCTCTTCGGCCTCGTCGGGCTCGCCCTCGGGCTCCCGTGAGACCCAGGCGCGGATGGTCCCGTCGCCGTGCGCAGAGAACATCTCCAGTCCTTCGCCTGAGCCGCCATTCCCGCGCCATACTAGTGAATTAATCCGGGCAGCGCTGAGGGCGTTGGATCGCCCGCGGATTTGCTGCCGACCAGCCACTAGACCGGGGACCTTGAGACGTTTGATGAACGTTCCCTCTCGAAGTTCGAACATGAAAATCTCGCCGCGGTCGTCGTGTTCGTTGAAATTGGCCCACAGGAGTGTCTCTTGCCCTGGAGCCATTAGTCCACGGGGAACAATCAGCGGAGCCCGCTCGGCAAGATGGGAAGACACGCCGTTCCGGACCCTGGGTCCAAAGTGGACAAGGGTATTCGCGCCCGTGGAAGCGTCCCAGACTCGGATCCGGGAATCTTGACCGGCTGTAACGAGGTGCGTGCCGGTTGATGTCCAACGGACACCGGTCACAGCACCATTGTGTGCGCGCGCGTGGGGCGAGAACGGGGCGCGGCTTTGGTAGGATGCTGGGGCGCACTGCGGATGAACTAGACCGACTGCATCATCCATATCAAGGGTTGCAATGGCGGAATTGTGACCACCTCTTCGAACGTCAAACAGAATCACGCGGTTGTCTGCGGATGCTGAGGCGAGGATATGCGGCCGGTGAGGGGCCCATGCAACTGAAAGGACCGCAGAGCTATGGCCCGGAAGTCCATGAGTAGATAGACCGGACCGCAGGTCGAGCAAGCGGACTGCTCTCTCTGATGTACCTACGGCAATAAGAAGCGTGGAACCCGGGTGCGACGACATGGAATGAGAGTAAGGCGTGCAGTCAAGCTTGAATGTATGCATAGGCGTGATTGCGCCAGGCGCCAAGGCAGAGAGCTTGAGGCTTCCATCATGAGCAGTAGTCAATATCGTAGATGGAGTCGGGTCAAACGGGTAAATTGAAACCGACGTGATCGCATGCGTATGGGCGTCTTCGTGGGATCCCTTGTGGATAGAGGCCATAGGCCGGTGGATATGATCCAACTCGGCGTCTCTGGTTTCTAGATCCCAGAAATGAATTGATGGATCTGCGCCACCAGAAATCATGCTGTTCAATCATTAGCCATAAGTCAAGACTGATCGAAGAAGAGTGCATACAATCGTGAATCATTCTGGTCAATGGCGAGTACATTCACGCCAGCCCTATGAGCAACAACATCGCTTTCAATGCCTGCACTTGCATCAAACGACGCAGCATCACGTTCGGATTGGCCTCCAGATATGTCCCTCAGGCTTGAGAATCGAATGCGAGGAGCTGGCTCAAGATGGTGAACTAGCCGGGTAGTTTGTGCCACATGAAAGGAGTGCGGAGTGATGGACCCAAGGGCCCTGTTTAGGAGATACGAATTCATTCATCAGGGATTGAGCAACTAGAATTCTTTCATAAGTCAAGATGATGCTCATGATCTCCCTTCAATGCTTTCAATTATACAGTCCAGATCTCTCTCGCAACGCGGGGGCGGAGAAAGGTTGCACCGAAGTTTGTAATTTCGGGTCCGTCGCAAGAAGCCAATGTCAAAATTAATCCGCAGACACAGCTCGTAATCAGTCTATTTGACTCACTAGGTTGGAGGTAACTGGAGATTTCCTCGATGCTCTCCCACGGGTGACACCCAACACGACAGGACTATGTCCTACGGCAAATCCCTTGCGCTGAGCCAGAATTCCTTCGTCCAGCCTCCGAACCAGGACGATGGCGCGCGCGACATTCAAGATGAGCCTTTACTCAGACGACAAAAACGTCAAGCAACTGTCTACGATGCTGTAGCTGGTTGGTAGGGCTGTTCCGCTTTATGAGAGCTTACTGACATATGCAGGTCGTGTGAATGCACATGGTTTCCTCCCATCGGTCTCATATGCCTCGAAACATCGCGACACAGCATCCTCCAGCGCTCGTCCCGTTCGTCCCGAGGAGGTCCTCTTCCGCCGCCTGAATGCGCCAATACGATACGAAGAAAATGACTTTTACTTCGCAAACGAGTCCCTCTCTGGCGACCGCCCTCTTCCGAGCTCGGAGCTGCTAGAAGCTATTCACGCCTACACAGCCGATCTCTACGATCATGCAACGATCGATCGAGGCCAAGACGACTACCAAAGCATGGACGAGACGGCTCTGATTGCAATGGGAATACTGATGGAGGAAATGGCTCGAGAGGCTCTGGGTGAAACCGGAGACTTGGTTCTAGTCGAGGGGGAGGAACTCTCGACGGATGATGAGCACCTATCATCGAGACTCGGAAGTCGCCGCATAGGCCGGAAACGGGCCAATACTAGCCAGAGTATGATTTTGGCGAGCTCCGGCGATGACCTGGATAGTGTTGTCAGAAAGCGACGGTCGAAGAAGCGCAAATTGACCCGGAGGGCGTCGACTACCGATTTTGATACAGAAGCAGATGAGAGGTTGTGAACTCACCCTTCATTCTTGCGAGCGGCACCTCATCGACGCTTTGTGGGAACCCAATTCAAGGCAGTGATCGGCTTCATGGTTGAACCTGTCCGTTATGGCACATTGGCGATACACTATAGTGGAAGACAGCTGAGAGACAGAAGCCGAGTGTGGAGATCAATGCTCAGGAGCAAAGATATTGAATGTATCAATTGGCGGCGTTAGAGAAATTACTGAGCATACTAGAGAGCACGCAACCACAATTGAATGTCGCGGATGAATCTTCGGTCTTACTGTTACAGAAGTTTCTGCTGAAGATCTTCGCGCGTTGGAGACTGCGTTAAATATTCAATATTTTAGTAGCAATCTGAATCCTCGTTGCACCATTGCATAGCAATCTACACTGTAGACTTGTGTCCAAAGAATTGTTTTGTATGTGACTCGATTGGCATCGCAGTACTCCAGTGCTCTCCCTCGTGCCATTGACAACAAGTTCGTCACCATCACCAACCAGCCAGTTCATCATTCCCTCCGTCTAACCCATCTCTGTACGGCTCAGACTCCATCTATGACTCTATCGAACGATTTTCTAGGCCCTTAGAGCAGCTCAACAACTACACATCGCCTCGCTTGACGAAGTCAACATCCACCATCCAACATGGTTTGCTCCCCGACTTTCACTTTCCCTTGTCATCCAAAACCGATGCATACGCAATGACAACAAACTACGTATCTACAAGTTACTTGATGCTAATGATCCTGTCTCAGCCACCAAAACTCTCTAAAAGCGCCAAAGAAGACTTGATAGTCGCGCATCTCCGGTCCACACGCACGTGCCACACGCTGAAAGACCTCGAGAAGATGCTTCCCTCGGTGGCTTCGATCAATGGCATGCAGGTCAAGGAATATATTCAGAACCTGACGGACGAGGGAAAGATTCGGGTGGAGAAGATCGGAAGCGGGAACTGGTACTGGTGTTTTGGTGGGGATGAGAAAAGGGAGAAACAAGCACGATTGAACCAGCTGGAGAAAGAGGTGAAGGCTCTGCAAGCGAGTTATGACGAAGCAGAGGCTAGTCTGGCGGCCAAACAGGACAAATGGGAAGAAGAGGGAGAGGACGAGCAATCAAATCTGGCAGAGAGGGAGGAGTTGACGTGTCGAAAGGGCGAGCTAGAAAAGGAGAGGAACCGGTTGCAAGCCCAGTGGATAGCAGTTACTACCACGGAGGAAGGCAAAGGAGTGCAGCAAATGAGAGAGGAGATCGAGGAGTTCCAGAAACAAGCGCTTATGTGGACGGACAACATTTACGTGCTGGAGGGGTACTTGAGTAAGCTGGCAGGAGGGGATCGCGAAGTTATTGCGGCGGTGCAGAGAGAATGCTATGGGGATGAGTATGTGGAGGGTGAGGGCTTGCGAGAGCTGATTATTTAGGCACACCAGAATTCATGATTTCATACTTGACGACAGAGAAAAGTGTTCTGTATCTAAGCTGTAGACTAGTCCCTGAAATGGATCGCAATCGGAGATTAAAACCGACAATTGTGAGGTGTCACCACCAGCAGGAGCATGTGGAGGCCCGAATAATAACAGTGAGACACGAGAGCAGTCTCAAACTAAGGCCAAATAGTCCAGCCCCCAAGAGAAGCTTGACTGTCAGGCTGCGCAAACCCGTTGGTCTTTTCCATTCTCCGCCTGGTCGGGCTTGTTGCTTATCGCGAACTTGTCCTTGTCCCCTCCCCCCTTCTCAATCCTGCTGCTGTCACTCGGCCACCACCACTACTACTGCACTACTACCGTTCTTTGTTCAACCTCCTCCGACCTTATATTAATTCTATATCTATCTACCACTTACAAGCTCACATTACAGTCACAAGCGATCGGATATCCCCACCCACTGCCTCCGGTCTCCCCTTGACCTCATTCTGCCCAATCTGCGTCTCTCAATCAACCCCATCCGCATCCGCATCCCCCGACCGACGGTTCTCCCCTCGTCCTTTGGCCTCGACCGACTCGCATCCTCTACCCATCGATCCCTTGCCGACCGCGGGGCGACACCCACGCATCACGCACTTGTCTCACCTCTGCCATTTCTGGTCATTCTGCGTAGTGCTTACTCGATCATACCTCGCAAAGCAGCATTCTCTGGACCCTTGTCCTGTTGTTCCTGGTCGACACCCGAGAAATAACGATGCGGCCCTCTCCGTCGTCCATGATCATCAGCTCCTGACATCCCCCCACAACCTAAGCACTCTGTCCCTCCGGTCTGGTTGCGCTCGGAAGCGGATCTTCCCCTCCCCGCGAGGAGTTCAGACTAGAAGCAAGCCTGGATCTTTAGCTCGTGTCAAAGTGGTGCATTTGCGCCC